CCCCACCGGCACCGGAGCCTCAGAGCCACTGGTCACACCCTCACATCCACCGGACCCAGAAGCCCGCACTGGGCGGGGCCAAGGCTGCCTCTCTCCTGGACTGTGCTGACTTCAGTTTGTCTTTGCAGCTTCTGATTCGTATTAAATTTACTTGGTTGACACTCTTTTCTTGGAATACTTTGGTGAGCGCAGAGCATGCAGGCCAGAGCGTTTTCCTGTTTAAGGATCACGTTGGCTTGGCTGCGGTCTACTTTAGTGCTCAGAGGCGCTTTGCTGCAGCCGCCTGTCACCCCAGGACCGGTCAGTTACTGTGACATTTGACCTATTTAAAAACGCATTCATTGAAGCCCTGTTTATATTTTCCTTTTCAACTCAGAGGTATTTGCATATCTTTGAGAGCCATAGGTTTGTTGCCAATAGACATCTACGTTTTTGTAGTAAACGAGTCATTCGGCATCCTCGGACACCCGCATCTCTAAGCAGGGGCATTTCTAACCGAAGCTTACACGATGGCTGTTTTCCAAAGCCACTGTGATTAAAACCCATACCTTTCCTGTAGCTAACAGCAACTTCGATTCTATCACGGTTTCTCATTCTGACCGAGAAAAGAATGTCATCTGCTAAATGACTCGCACGCAACTGGGCCTTTCCTAAAGGTAGTGCAGACTCTACCCAAACATTTAATTTCGGGATGGAGAATTCATGGGACACAGGCCACCGCTCGTCACTCTCCTCTGCCAGGCAAACATCACTACTGCCGAGAGCTCTTCTTTTGGGCGGGACTAGACTAGAAGCAGCTTCGCTACCTCACGTCCCCAGGGAACTACGACCGGTCCAAACTGGAACTGGCTTGCCAGAGGATGCTAGTTTGGGTGCCCCGTCTTTCTTATGGTGTCTGGCAAGATCTGTCACTTACTTTGAATCCCTGCATTTATCCGAAAGTAACTGTCTGCTGAAAGATTTCTGAGTCAGGAAAGAACAAGTTTTGTGGGGGAGTTTCTTCCTCCTTTCATTCCCTGCGGGTCTTCTCATCGAGACAGACAGAACTGCCAAATAGTGTCGACAAAGGCCTGACACGTAGCAAGCTTTGCTCGACATTCAGAGTTCGGTCCGTTACGTTTACTCCAAATTAGTGTCCAAGATTCACACAAGCTTTACCACAGAATTTTTTTTTTTTCAGTTAAGAAAATAATTTGGTTTTTAATTAGTGAAAATATAATATTTCTTGTACATCTGTTGTACATGAACCAGTTTTGACTTTCTTCCATGTTAAATGAAACTAATTTGGTCTAGAAAGTTCTAAAATTACACCACCACTAGGAATTCCTTACGCGTCAAAGCAGCTACTGATGAAAAGAATCGAATTGATGATTGTCTATTCATAGTCCTATTGTTCCATGATGAGAGGAAATGTAAAACATCGGAATTTTATAGACTATCGATTAAAGGGTCTTAAAACCATTGGTGGAAATGTCAGCATATTGAGAAGAGCATATTATGAATCGAGTCTTCAGTTTATAACGGGGCATTAGTTCGATCCGCGCCTGTGTATTACTGGCTGAATTCAGAAAAAAGAGAAGCCACGGGAGATGATTCCGAAGACACTTTCACTCGTAAAGAATATGCAAGTTAGAGCAATCGAATTATCTCTGATGTGCGAGTCCGAGTTATTTACATTTTTGTGGTATGAAGGTCGGTACACTTCCAAGAGGCCAAATGCCACACAACCCCAAACTATTCTGTATTACGATACACAGGCTGATTTTGCCCAAAGATGAGTTCCCTGTACTTCTTTCTCATTTTCTAGGACCTGAGAAATAGTTATTGAATACAAGTCGATAATGAAAAACGCCAGCAATTTTATTTGCAAGACCTGTAAAATTAAGGTCAAGAGACGGACTTGCAAATTCTATTCTCTTTATCCTTATCCAACTTTTATGCTGAATTTTTTTTCCACATTTGGAAAATTACTTTTTTTCCTTCTCATCTCGAATGTCGCTAATGCGAGGGCAAACCCACACATCTCCTGAAAAATAAACACAGCTTTGCTTTTTTCAGACAGGAAAGATAATCTGTTCTGTCCCTCACGCAGCTTACTTCAGCTGCTTCATCCTTCTGCGCACAGCTGGACACTCGCCTCAGCCAGAGACAAGCGCCGCGGTTCGTCTGGAGTCGTCTGGAGGCGGCGCTCAGCATTGAGACGTGAGGTCAGAACGGCGCCCCGTAAACAGCTCGTCTGCCCGAGCCCGAGGCCCAGCAAGACAAGATCTAAACCGCGCGCACCCCACGTGACCACGTTTGCTTATGTAATTTCTCTCCTGTTTGGCTTATACTTTTACTTTAAAAAGGAAAAAAAAAAAAAAGGAGAGGAAGAAGAACGGAGGTGACCGCCCCCTAAATGACAAGACCGGTCCCCGGTGGGAACAGGAGAGTTTTCCAGGTGAAAACCTTGCCCTCCATAAAAGCGAGAGTCTCTGTGCTTTGGCCACTGCCCGGCGCAGAGGAGGGTCTGCGGGTGCCCCCCTGACCTCTACCAGTGCCGTGTACGGTGACTGTGCCACCCCCGACCCCCGCCAGTGCCCATGTTACGGTGACTGTGCCACCCCCCCCGCCACACGCGGTCCCACCCAGCGTTTATGCTGT